ACGACGACTACGACTTCGACTACGACTACGACTACGACTACGACTACGACTACGACGACGACGACGATGACGACGACGACGACGACGATGACGACGACGACGACTACTACCACTACCACCACTACTGCTACTCTCCAGCCAGAAGCAGCCTGCTGCATGCCGAAGACCACGCCGACCAATGCTGTTCCGACCTGAGTCTTGCCCCTCACCCCATGTAGGGTTTACGGACTCGGGTATTAGGGCTTCAGGGCTTTGGGGTTTTAGGGCTTTAGGGTTTTAGGGTTTAGGGGTTTAGGGTTTAGGGATTCGGGTTTTAGGTTGTAGGATGGGGTGTGAGGATAGCGGTTGGTACAGGGTTTTATGGGGCAGAATGGGGAACAGTAATGGGTTTTACAGCGTGCCGGAGGGTTCCATAGATCTTGCTTTGGCAATTCTCCCAAGTAGTGTGCCTGTTTGAGACTTCAATATTCACGTACTTCACTTTTTACAAGGACGAGACCCCCACCTATTCGCGGAAGGCCTGGTTAAGAGCAAACCCCCATCGGTCTCGGACCGCTTGAACACATGATGTCGAGGAATCGTGGCTTTGCAACTTGTTCGTACTGATTCTTCAGCTCCTTCGTGAATGCTCGAACCGATCAACTTTGATTGTCAGGCCTTCAGAAGCTTTTGAAAGGAGGTCGGCTGAAGCTCTGCCGCAGCCCTAAGCAGAGCGTATCAAGCAATGGCCAGAGTGCAACCCCCGTGAACCCAGCAAAGACCTGAAGCCTGAAGAAGAGAGGGACCACGGGAGATGCACGGAGGTCACCACTTCAAAGACGAAGTTGCACTAGACACCAGGCTCCAAAAACCGCAATAGACATTCTGCATCATTCCGGTACCTATTCGGGAAGAAGGAAGACACTGCTTGGCTTTTTGCCCTTTCAATGCTGATATCCGGATTTGCTGCGCCCTCCTAAGCTCGGGACAAAGATGGTGAAAGCGCAGGACAGAGCAAACTCCAGCTGCACCTTCGGCACAACGTGAGCAGAGCTCAGCACCAAAGTCCGAAATTTCTCTTCTGAAGCCTGCGTGCATCATGCTCCGCTTGCCAGTACCCCTACCCAAAGCCAGAAGGATGCGGAGATTCAGGTTGAAAGTTGATGGATCCTGGAACCTTCGATGCTGGAGCCCGACACTCCGGCAGCGTTGAGAGACCCGGATTCCTGATTCCGCTGGTCTTCTCCAAAGACTTACGCCGAGCTCCTGTGCCCGAAACCCGAAACAGGGCTGCCAGGGCTCTGCTGCTAGACGATTATGGGGCCTGGGGGGTTCTGAACGAGGCCACAAGCCGTGTCTGAAATTACCACCTGAAGCTCTAAACCCCTCGTCGCGGCACTTCCGAATGCCGAAACTACCAACTCTTCAACTTAAACCTTGAGAAAGGTGCTACTGAGAATGATGGCAAAAGCAAGAGCTGCCAGAGAAGAAATGGGCGGTCAACTTTTGCTTACCCAAAAAGCAACAACAGCGGTTGCGGCCGGGACAGACGCAGCACAAGTCCCAGCAATCTCTACAATATAGCATAGAATATAGCAAGAAGCACGGGAACAAGAGGGTACTAGCCAGACGCAATGCTGGCAAGACCGGAACTACAGTTTCTGTAGCCAAGTTAAAGTCTCTGGGCTCGATTCCGAACCCTAAGGCTCCATGTACCCATATAGTAGATACTTAGGCCTTAACTATATAGGGACCTCTTTAAGGCCTAAGTATCTACTATAAAAGTACATGGAGCCTTTGGAACAAGTATGCTCGGCCCGCGGCGTCGTGGCGCGCTTCGGTGTCGACCTTGGGTCGATTTCCCAAAGGGTCCATGTATTCTTATAGCATATACATGGGCCCTAAAGTACCTATATAGGGACTACATTAAGGCCAATGTATATGCTATTTGAGTACATGGACCCTTAGGGTTTAGTGTAGGAGCCAGAATCATAATGCTGTTCCTCAGGGTTCCTTTACATAGGTTAGTATAACACATCTCCAAGCCTTGTTCCAATTGAATATTAAGGCCCCTGTAGCAGGGTTCCAGGACTTGGGACCAGCAGTCGGCTTTTCGGATCTGAAGAAAACGTGTGCTATGAAAATCCTGGGTGCAGCTCATTCCTTGAACTTGCGCCATCCCAACCCTAGACCCTAAAAATCATAAAACACATATAGTATACAGCCTTAGTATTAACTCTAGACCATAAGCCCTGCATACACCCCAAACCCTGAAACCTGTAAGCCCCAGATCCGACCAGCTCTAAATTCACTCTTAATCCTAGACCCAATGAGCCATAGAAGTTGCTTCGAAAGTCCCGCAGACTTACGGGCGAATGTCGGCATCTCTAGATTTGTTCTGGGTGTCACTCGTGTGAGAGCCTTTAAGGTTACATGGGTTTAGGGATAAGGAGTTTTAGGGTTTCTGGTTTATGGGCTTAGGGTTTAAGATACTCTCTGCAAGTCTCATTCGTGACTCCAGCGCTTGAGAACCCAGAACGACCGAATTGGTGGTTGCTTTGAGCCTCTGGTGCATGTAGGGTTCGCGGGTGGATGTGTTACAACTCCTTGGCACTAAGCCTAAAGATGAAGAGCCCTACATCCCAGAGTCCCAGACCCTGAACCCTGGCTCCTAGCTCGGAGGTGGAGCTTCGGGGTCGTTTTTTGGGGGGGAATTCGCACATGCTCGGAGTCTTACACCGAGCTTATGCTCTCACCAGTTACTGAACCCGCATTGTAGATCTAGACTGGTATCATTCATTGAAACTCCAACAAATGGGATCCATGAACGGAGTAGCTGCATCACACGGCATGAACAACCAAAGTCTGCGCTGTGGACTTCGAGCGGGTAAAGACTAAGAGAAACCTGAAAGCACTCATGAAGTGATTAAGAGGTCTTGGGACATGAATGATCATCGTAGAAAACGCATCATAACGAGCTATTGCCAAGACATGCACCTGCAGGATCCTGCAGGGAAGTGTCATGAAAGAAGGAACTCGGCTGGTAGGTTCAGTGCTGATTCATTGCAGGCTACGCCACGAAACGCACATGGGGCTCGGCCGAAAGCAAGCTCCCCGTTTTATTGACAGCCGCATGCTGGAACAGAGACCTGACACTCGCACCTTCAACCCCCATGCAAACCTCGGGCCAAAACCAAGTACGGCTGCCCATCCGGGTCGATTCGCATGGCTTCGCCATCCGAGCATAGCTCAGAATGGAAATCTCCCTTGAACCTGAGGCACGGAGCCGTGTCGAATTGGGAGATGTTCGTTGGTTTCGGAATGAATGGGTCGACCTTAAAAGTGTCGCACTCGGCTTTGCTTTGGCAACATCGAACTGAACCGAAAACCCTGTTTCCAACAATTACCGTAACTCCTTCAGACTAATTACAGTAAACTCTTGCGACTATTGCCTCTATTGATGGTCTGCATGAACCATTAAATTCTAGTGTGTGACTCCTGCATGTTGTTGGTTGGGTTTGGAGGCTTTGCGGGTCTACTGTGTCCAGTAGATTCAGGTCTGAACCTGACACAGCACATGTCCGTTTTGCCCGACTGACCCTGACTCCAAGGTAGACTCTTGACTGCTTCCGATCGATTCGAAATTGCCTGTCATGGTGCCTGATGTGATTCAACCGGCTTTATCTTTATCTTGATGCACCCGGCCTGAAAGCTTCGGCTTTCGAACCTCAAAGCCGAGCGGACAAGGCCGCGGCATGGCGAAGGAAGATCGCAATCCCGTCTTCAAGGCCTGGTTTTAGGGCTGTATGCGCCGCCTTATAATCCGGCTTAGGGCACACGTTGATATCTGGCCGTGTGGCGGTGGTACACGGCATGTGCTGTATATTACATGACTTCGTGCATGTGACTGTAGAAATGGAGGGATCCGTGCTTCAGTGCAACCCCAGGGAGTCAAACTTAGGGCGCTCGTTTTTGCTCACTTTTTCGAAGTGATCCGCGACGCGCTTTGGGATCCAACTGCGAGCGCCAGACCCAGCTGTACATGTATTCAATGAGCAGCACGTTGTATAAAGAGGCAACACGCTGTAAATAGTAGAGATTATAAAGCATGTTCACTGTAGTGAGCGGGGGGGCTTAA